AATGTTATTCTATTATTCTTTATATATATTATTCTAAAACTTTAAACTATAAGTTTTCTACTACATGATATTACACACTTCTATTTAAACTACACACTCATAATCCTATTATTCAATTTTGGAAGCACATCAGGGGCACATCAGGGCTGGGATCAGAGCACCTGATCAGGATCAATACCTGCACTGGGGCACATCGGGGCTGGGATCAGAGCCCGGATCAGCACAGGTCCCTCCTGGCTGAGAGCAGTGCTGGGAACACTGCACTACCCTGGCTACAGGCAGATCCAAACAGGTGGAGAAATGAATCCATCAAAATTTGCTTCAACAGGAAAAACCTGCTTCTCTTTTCCAGGGAGCACCACAGAAGCTCTGGAGGGAGTGAGTGCCTCACAGCAATATGTGGAGCAGAGAGACTGTGCTGCTCTTTGCAGAAATACATGGCTGTACACATCCATTACCCAAAAAAAACCAGAACAGAAAGGAACTGGAAAAAGCACAGCTCTCTGAAGAGGATTCCTCCTCTGCCTCTGGACTTGTATTTAATAACTGTGAGTGGGGCCAGGGACCTGAACCAATGTGAAAATGCATTTTCAGGAGATTCCCTCTCCTGGCATGAAATTTCCACACATACAGGGAGACGCTGCTGAGGCTGGCTCTGGCCAGAGGAAAACCCAGAGAGGGACTGGCACTACAGAGGCACAAACACCACTGTGGTGAGCGTGGGGCTGGCCCCCTTCCCTTCTCTGTCTGACTCACACGGATGATGCCCCTCACCTGCTTCACAGGGAGTTCCCCTGGCTCAGCAGCAGCCCAAGCACACAGCTGAACCCTCTGACACAGCTCAGAAGGAGCTGCTGGTCCCTGGGCAGGGCCCTGCCAGCGCTGTGCTCCCCACTCTGCTCACCCTGGCACTGCCCAGCACAGCCAGGGCTCGGAGCTTGCCCTAATTAGCAGCCTCCAAAGTGCTTCCATCAGCACAGGCTGCAGGGAGAGGGTGAGCACTGGCTCAGGAGTGAAGCCTGCACCAGGCTGGGAGAATAAAGCCTGTACCAGGCTGGGAGAGCAGGAATTGCAGGGCTGCCCCTGCCCCACTCGGTGCTGCGAGCACAGCCCGGGCTGGGCCCCGTCCAGAGCACCATCAGCCCTGCAGGGCACGTTTTGAGCCATGCTGCTGGGTGGGCAACTCTTTGTTCTGGCCCAGAACTGGACACGGGCTCTCAGTGATGCTCCCAGAAAGCCTCTGTGGGCAGGATGCTGCGAGGAGCTGCTGGAACAGGCACTGCTGTGGGAACTCAAAATATCCCTCAGACATTTTTGGAGGTTCTGGTTCCAGGTCAGAAGCATTTGAGACCCTGGCAGGCAGCTGCAAACAGCTGTGATTTTGGGTTTGAGCCATGGAACGATTTACCAACTTTACAGGAAGAACAAGAAGTCGCAAAAGTTTAGATATTAGAGTAGAAGCAGTCACAAAATAGAGGGAAGAATTTTTGAGTCCTGTACAGGGGGGGTTTCTGTTTTGTACATGGGGGTCAGAGGTTTTAAGATGGATTTGGGATTTGGGCCTGTCCTGTCCTCCCTCTCTCTTCTTCCTCACCTCCATGTTCTTGGTGATGTTGGCACTCACAGATTGGTTTAGAGTAGAAAAGCACCATTTAATATAGGTAATAGGCATTGGGGAAAACTGTAAACATGTAACATGTAATGTACCATATAAAAGATAGAAAATCACCATTTAATATAGGCAATAGGCATTGGG